TTTATCTATGCCAATTTGAATGTATTTTTATTGAACTTTAAGTCCGAAGAAAAGAGAATAAACTTCACAAAACATTTTTTTTAAAAGCGAACGATAGAGAAATAAATCCCAGAAGCGCTGTTGCAACACAAGTTATACAAGTGCCGAATTAGAATTGTTACTAGCGATTAATATACAAAGAGAAGGAAGAGAGATTTAAATTAAAGGATGGTAAATGTCGGAAGAAAGATGGAGCAAACAATACCAGAGCACCAACAAACAAACTCTGCAGAAATGAACATGGAATACCACTTTGAATTATTAAAAAAAAACTTACTTAAAATCAACCACACATTTTTAAAAAATGTGCATACGTATATACAGGTGGATACAAATACATTAATTTGTTTGGGTCTTTTTGGTCTTTTTTTTCTATAAGTTTAATTAATTTATCTAGCAAAAGTCAAACAGAGTACAAGATTGGATAAACATACAACATAAGCAGATATACAAAATACAGATTTAAACAAAGAGACAGATAAAAGCATCAGAAACTAAGAATAATGAGTGGGACTGGTTTTGGCATGGTACATGTGATAAGACTCTCAAATTCTGGATTGCTCAATCTGGAGCAGCCCCAGAACATTTGGGACAGTTGGCAAGTGTGCATAATTTATGTGGTTAGAACATAACAACATAGAATAGCATTTCAATGACAAATTTCCCCACCTGCAGCTGTAAAGTTAGCACAGAGAAAGCTCTCCTGCTGATCCTTGACCTTGTGCTCCGCCCACTCCTTGAGTCGCCACAGTCCTTGTGACTCTGACAGGAACTGGACCAGGTCCGAGATGAAAGACGAGTTGACCGAGGGCAGGCGGATGGCCAGAAATACTGTTACTAATTTGGTCCCCTCTTTTTGTCCTGTGGTATGAGACGATTATTCAGATCTCAGTGATCTCATCCAGATTTATGTTCCATCTAGATCACTAAGATCAGGCGATCAGTATCTTTTAAGAGCTCCTAGAAAAGGAGGTAAAAAATTAGCTGAAAGATCATTTGCCCACCTTGCTCCATCAGTTTGGAACTCTCTTCCCTAACCCTTGAGACATACAAGATCTGACTCGAAATCTAAAATGTCTTTATGACATCATTTTTATGTCAGTAGATTCATGTTCAGTACAATGTTATGTAAATGACTATGTACCCATTTATGTATTCTGCGAATTGCATTGTGTACATTATTTATTATGTATTTGTATGTACTCACTTTGTAACGATGTGTAAGCGTGCGCGTGTGATAAGCAAGTAGATGTGTGTGTGTGTGTGTGTGTGTGTGTGTGTGTGTGTGCGAGTGTTTGGCGTGCATGTGTGTGCGCGAGAGTGAATATTGTTCATACATGCATTTATGTAAAGCGCCTAAAGCTGTGTTCACACGGGAGTGGGCGCTATAGAAATGACCTACATTATTATTATTCAGAGAATGTAAGTGTAAAGAAAAAAAGCTTTTGACAGGAAAAATTAAAAAGATAAAAGTGAATCGGACAACATGACTGAGCCTTATGAGTGGCTCATGGCTTTGTAATAAAAAAGAAAAAAAAGAAATGAGACCCCGCTGTAAACACTTTGGGGAGTTCAGAAAGCTATGGCATCTAGAAATTCATTTGAATGTATTCAACATCATGGTCATGGACCTTTAAGACTACCAGTGGACTTCACTTACACCAAAATCTACAGGAATGCTGGATTTTCTTCATTTAGCCGAGTTTTCCATTTAGAGGTTGCTCAAACAGAAGTTTAAAAAAATTGGAGATTTTGTACTTTTTTGGTTACCCATTGTTTTTTGTTTTCGATTAATTGTGTTCAGTTTAGTTTGAAAAATCATAGTGGTTTATGGAGAGTCAGTGCGATAACAGGACATTTCATCAGGAATAAAATAAAGCTGTAGTAACATGGAATAGAAATAGTAGAAACACATCCCATCCGAAATCCGAAAGAACCCACTTCAAATCAGTGCCTTAGCAGTAGGCAACAAACTTATCAAAGGTGTGCATTTCCTTAACATAAATTTATGCAACATAAAGCACATGTACTTCCAATGGTATACTATTGTAACTTATGTCATGTTTTTCTGACTTGTGATTAATTTCATGAGGGCATTCAATACCAATAACCATGTCACTTCAACCTAAATTTCTCCTGACATGTAAAAAAAAAAAAAAGCAACATTTGTCTTTTTATATGTTCTTTTTCCATTTCATAAACTTGCAACAACAGCAGAGAGACATCTGACGAGAATCTTGTAATGGAGGACTTCATTGCATCCCTCTACATACTGATCAAAATCTTTTGCTCTAGCCCACACTAGAATCTAGTTCTTGAATTTATGAATCACAATTAATGACAGTGAGCCTCCCATCTATTCAGAAATATTTCACTTACAGAATGAGAAAATAAACTTTATGTCTGAATGACTTAGACATAGTACAAATTAATATGAAATATCAGTCGAGTTTTTGGACTGTTATTCACATAAGTTTCATCCAAAAGAACATATCATCAGAGTCATTTCATAAACTCCTAGATAAACCCCCCCCC